CATTATTGAAAACCTAGAAGCACTGGATGGCCATTTTGTCCCTGTGGGGGACGCCTCAACAATGCGTATCCATGAACTCTCCTTGCGAGATTCGAACACAGGACATATCGGTCTCGCGCGTGAACACTTAACCCCTATACCACTGAGCTGGCCGGCATCCAACAGTGTTGATGTCTAACCTCGACCAATCCTCGAATCTTGCGAGTGAGATCATGAATGCGCAATGCTGAGGAGTCCCACAATAGGATGAAACGGCCGTCCATTGCTTTCAGGTTTTCAATAGTGGTCTAACATCAATCAGTTCATGATCTCAATCAAAAACGTAATAATCTCCACAACTCTATACTTATAATTAGTAAGTGTTTGAGTTATTCCCTTGTTGATATTCAGGAGTGAATTTGTGATCAGCCTTTTTTATATAAGGGAGATCCTGCACGGATTACCTCAATATACCCATCATAACACAGGATTTTTTTAAACAAATGATTTATGGCTAATAGTGAAATCTAAAACACTGAATAAGTCCTATTTGAAACGTGTTAGAGCTGGATGTACCTATTCCCTAGTATTTACGTTTACCTTGCAACTCGAACCCAAATCCTTCTGTTACATGAGCTGATATTACCACTAACTTGTTCAAAACTTATATTTTCCAAATGTAAGCATCAATATTGGAATGTAGGGCACATCCAGTTAACGAGTCTTAAATGGGAAAAAATACGCATTTTGGAGTCTACTCTCAGACAAAGTCCGTCCACATTTAATGAGTGAGTACTTCATGCATAACTTTGTGATTTTTTATGAAAATATTGTAACTTACACTACAATTTTTATGAAAGTATTATATCTAAGTACCTGAGACTCTGTATAAGATGGTACTTAGTCTAGAAAAAGATGGTACGACAGTTCAGTATAATTTGCTTGACCGTAATCCTGTTTCTTATATTTCAAGATCTTTCCGAAATTGAAGAGATTGTTATGGATAATCAATAAAACTGATCCTATCAGAAAAGGTTTTTTGCGGATGGATATTATAGTAATCTCAATAGTTGAGATCATAAGTCAATTGAAGCTAGACCATCATGGAAAACTTGGAAGCAGTGAACCGCAGTTTCGTCTTATTGTGGAACTCTTGACTGTGTTCTTACGTCTCTGGAAGAGATTAATATTTATTCACTTGTCGAGCATGATGTCCCTTAGTGAGTTATTCTTTATCTCTGTTCATTTCTTTTCCTTTTATCTTGTGTGATTTGTTTCTATGAAGAACACTTTTGTAAAATATTAAAATCATCTTGATGTGTGTATGCTCACTTTTTCCTGTTCCGATTATATAGAAATGATTGAGTTGTTTACTTTTATTGAACAATACCCATCTATGAATCACCTTATATTTAACCCTTCTAGATTTTGTAAGAGTAGTACAAACAATCCTTTTTTGGTTGTAGATAGAGGCCCCCAAATGCCCTGGTACGTTAGAGGGTAGGAAGGGTACGCTCTCTCAAAATGCTCTCCCATAGAAACACGTATACATTCACTACCAGAGAATTCCTATTCACTGTCTTCTCGCGGTGAGGGTGTCGTTTACGAAATTGAGAGGATGAAAAGCGAATATCCGGCACTTTAACTGGGTTGGTGGATACGGAGGATTCACTTAGTGTTGAAATACTGTTATTCCAAACCAATGGTACACATGGGCTCCAGTATCCTGAGGAAACAAAAGGCGTATGAACCAATTGTTGGTCACTGACTACCATGTGATTGCATCTCCTGACGTTGTCCCACTGTTTTGTGTATCAGACGTTCAGGTTGAAAGCTCCGAGTGTGGCAACCTAAGAAAACCACCTTCTTCGCTCTGGGCGCCCGGTCAATACCCCAGCCCTCACACAAAACAATTAATTTATGTGGCGCATATGTATTCGGTGCCCCTTTGTACCAATATTTATATGTTCAAATAAATAAATAATAAACTTAATAATGATCATTACAAAAGATACATATGTGCTGTTTCATCTCAATTTGATATTCCCCATCAACACATACCTATGACTTTAAGGTATCGTGGAGTTTACAATAACTGAATTATTCTTCCAAAAAGGTTTCATTTTCAATTTCAGTTTATTCCTGATAGTTGGTTGAGTCAAAAACGTACATTGGTGATTACTCCGGTATCAAAACAAAACAGATTCCCAGTACACAAAGCTACCAAGAGCCTTAACTGACCATTCACACTATACGAATATAGCTTGTGATTAGTTATATAAACTATGGACAGATCAATTCTACCATATTCTGTTTGGAAAACTCAAATACATTATATCATCTTAGTGTATGTAACCGAGAGGAAGCATGGGATGTAGTGGACAGCTAGGATTCAGCTGGACGATCTAAACTTCGTAGATGATCTGGCTCTTCAGTCGCACACGCAAAAACAAATTCAGGAGAAGACGTGTAGTGTCAGTCATTATTTTAAGCCCATAATATGTCTCGTTCTAGTTTTTGGACAAATCAATCTGGTCATTTTACTCGAGTCATATGTGTTGACCTTGTTAATCATTCGCTTATTAGCCTTGACTGTTTTTATATAACCCTATATGTGTGTAAACTTCATATTCCATGACTCATCACATGTCTGCAGTTTATTTTGCCTGCCCATAAATATTGAGTAACGCCTGACTATAAATGGAGTTGGCGTACCAGTCATCTCCACTGCGCGTTGTTTTGCTTTGCTCTATTTCATTAGCTTGTTGTAAACACATCAAATAAAGCCTGTCACATCATAAAATGTAAAGACAATAGTTCGAGGAAGATTTTCTTTTAGACGATGTCATATATTTCAGCAACCAGCCTGGAGCCCCTCTGGGGCTACTGCCAATCTCAAGCCCGAATTTTTATTTTAACACATAGATATTGGTACAAGGAGGCAACAAATACATATGCGCCACACAAATCTCATTCGATATGTGTGAGGGCTGTGATACTGCCCGGGTGACCAAGCCGAAGTAGGTGGTTTTCCTAGGGGGCCACTCCCCGAGCCTTCGATTTGAAGGTCTGATCCACAAGGCAGTGGAGCATCGTAAGGAGATGCATTACCATGGTAACCAGTGACCAACGATTGGTTCGTATGCCATTTGTTCCTGCAGGATACTGGAGCCCATGTGCACCATTGGTTTGGAATCAGGGTTTTCCAACTCCCCTAGGTGGACTATCTATGTCAACCAACCCGGTTAAAGCGCCTAATATTCACTTTTGGTCCTCTCAATTTCGTAAACAACAGTAATGCCGCGAGAAGGCAATGAGTAGGACTTCCCTGGCAGAAGCTATAAACGCGTGGCCATGTGAGAGCATTTGGAGAGGGAGAGAGGTCTTTCTCCACTCTAGGCCGTACCACGGCATTTGGGGGCCTCAAGCCTGAATAAAGGAGAAGGGTCGGTCATGGGGTTACAGACCCCATCCCGTAGAAAACTAACTCGCTATAAACTCTATATACTTAAGCTGTAAAACTGTATTTATGATCAACTTTAAATATAGAGTAGTCGGTCGTGAAACCATGGAGGATTAATTATGTCAAGTATTGAACAAAATTTACATCATAAAATTTTAAGATAATAAGTAATAGTGGTTTATAGAAGGAATATAGAAGATAACAGTTCATTTACTAGATATGAAATACTTAAAGTACAAGAGAATAACTGATACAACACCAGTTAGAATGGATGTAAAGATTACGGTGAAAGAAAACAATCAGATATGTTCTTTTTTGTACACAGAGACCAGATTCGAATGACTATAGATCCAGCCGTAAATAACTGACTCAAGCGTTCTTTAGAATTTAGTGATAATCTCGAATATGGAATGTAACAAATGTTGACTATATTTTAAAAGATTGAAGTGTTTACTGTCTCGTATATTCCCCTTGGATATGTTTGGAGAGAACACATTTTGTGGAGGAAATAAAACCTGCTCCATAAGAGCACGTAAACTAATGAAATCAGATCGAGGTAGACAAAACACTTTATCCTCTATACTGTACAGGTCGAGGTACCTTCTGGAGGAGAGAATTTCGAGCTCTGTTGAATATGTTTTCCTCAGAAATATTGGCAGTTCAAATTTTCACATATTAGGCTTTTCTAAACGTTCTGAGAAAGACACCGTTTTTGTTGTATACTGCTAGTTATGGCTTTTTTTTCATGTACATACTTATGTTCACACTGAGATCGGTGATTATACAGTTGAATATACTTAAGCCAGTTTGAATCTTATCATTATCAGCATCCATTTGGAATACAGAACAGTATATAGTGTATAAACTAGGATTTAGTTGACACCATCGCCATCCGACGTCAATTTAGAACCAGTATCACACTAAAACCAAATAAAATCGGTACAGACCTACATAGATGAATATACTTGTATGCTCATTAGGAAGTCTTATTAACCTGAATGGAGTAGAAACAACTTCGTTTTATCTATCTACTTAAAGGAATGAATAACAAGCACTTATAGTTTTGATGGAGTTTTGTTCTCTGAGCTAGATAGTTTGGTCGTACTGATGATGTTGTTCAGAAGAACGATGAAAGCTCCACAACTAAACCATTCAGCTCAGAGAACAAAACCACATCAAAAAGGTCAGATAATATTGATCGCTTTTTAAGGGTCAGACCTATTTCCTAGTCATAATTACAAGGGTTGTTGAATAAAGGGAAAAACAACGTCAAGAGGATATTCAGTCAATAAACCAATCAATAAATCGAATATAATCAGACTGACTATCCAGTTAAACTAACCAACCAATCACGTAACAGTGATGTTTACATGTGGCAATGTAAATGATGCGTCAACACCACCAACACCCACATTTGTAGACAGTTAATTTAACCAATCAACTTAGAGAAAGTGAGTGAAAAATAATTTTCTAAATTTCATCCAATCATTTACCTAGTATATCAGTCCAAGTGAATCGATTACCTAGCTATATATATATTTAAAGTCAGGCATAAATTAACATTAACATCGCATATTCTTTGTTTCGACATGCGCGAGATAGTTCATATACAGGCTGGTCAATGTGGTAACCAAATTGGTGCCAAAGTAAGTGAAATTACAGGTTTTCTGTATTAATCATATAAATACTAATTGGCATTTGCTCACTTATTATCGCTTATTTTTCATTCATAGTTCTGGGAAGTTATTTCGGATGAGCATGGCATCGATCCGACTGGGACATATCATGGTGACTCAGATCTACAACTTGAGCGAATCAATGTTTACTACAATGAAGCATCCGGTGGAAAATATGTTCCGAGGGCTATCTTAGTGGACTTAGAACCAGGCACCATGGATAGTGTCCGTGCAGGACCTTTCGGCCAACTTTTCCGTCCTGATAATTTCGTATTTGGTCAAAGTGGCGCTGGGAATAATTGGGCCAAAGGCCATTACACAGAAGGAGCAGAACTTGTAGATTCTGTCTTAGACGTCGTAAGAAAAGAAGCGGAATCTTGTGATTGCCTTCAAGGATTCCAATTGACTCATTCGCTCGGTGGTGGTACAGGTTCTGGTATGGGAACATTGTTGATCTCAAAAATTCGTGAGGAGTACCCTGATCGGATTATGAATACATTTTCGGTCGTTCCTTCACCAAAAGTGAGTGGTTATATAATTTTGACTAATCAGATAACTATCTCGCCTAAAGTTTTCCTACAAGAATCTATTCTTAATTTAGGAATGGAACATTGTGTTTCAAAAAGTTCCGTCGCTCATCGAGTGTCAGGTCTTGTCAACTTTCGTCAGCGTTACTCTGCTCTATTTTTGTCATACACTGGTTTTGTGTTTCTAGGACATCCTAGATTGGTCCTATCCATATTGCGCTTGGATGGCAGCTTCGAAAATGATTAGCTTTTATGATAAGTATAACTTCAAAGAGTACCTACATGCGTACATTTCTTGAAATTCATGCCAGGTTTTTTTAATTTGATTTTTAGGTGTCCGATACTGTTGTTGAGCCATATAACGCGACGTTATCCGTTCACCAACTAGTTGAAAATACTGATGAAACATATTGCATTGATAATGAAGCACTTTATGACATCTGCTTCCGAACATTGAAACTTACAACCCCGACATACGGTGACTTAAATCATCTGGTCAGCGCAACAATGTCTGGAGTCACTACTTGTCTCAGATTCCCAGGACAGTTGAACGCCGATCTTCGGAAATTGGCCGTGAATATGGTTCCATTTCCACGTCTGCACTTCTTCATGCCTGGTTTCGCACCACTTACTAGTCGTGGTAGTCAACAATATCGTTCACTCACGGTTCCTGAACTGACTCAACAAATGTTTGATGCGAAGAACATGATGGCTGCATGTGATCCGCGTCATGGGCGTTATTTGACAGTCGCGGCTATTTTCCGTGGTCGTATGTCCATGAAAGAAGTCGACGAGCAAATGTTGAATGTTCAAAACAAGAATTCCAGTTACTTCGTTGACTGGATTCCAAATAATGTCAAGACTGCTGTCTGCGATATCCCACCCCGTGGACTAAAAATGTCTGTGACATTTATCGGGAATAGCACTGCCATCCAGGAGCTGTTTAAACGTGTTTCCGAACAGTTCACGGCTATGTTCCGCCGAAAGGCTTTCTTGCATTGGTACACCGGTGAAGGTATGGATGAAATGGAGTTTACCGAAGCAGAATCTAATATGAACGACCTAGTAAGCGAGTATCAACAGTATCAAGATGCAACCGCCGAAGAAGAAGGTGAGTTCGAAGAGGAACTTGAAGATGCATAAAACAATACTCCAATAGTTGTTCTGCTTATTACTTTCAATAAATTACCGTTTTTTGGTTTAATTTCTTTCTGTCATTGGGGCAAAAGAAACCATCCACTTAGTGGACTTCGTGTTGTTGAGAGTCCGACCGGTTCTCGTAATTTGAGGGTGGTGTTCACAGGTCCGCAACCATCTTCGCACTCGTTCGATGCTTCCCGGGTTTGTTGTCAGCTAGAAAGGGCAATTAGTTGCTACTACTCATTCCAAAGGATAGCTGGTTGCCCAGTTTGCAATAGAACAAGTAGATCATTTCAAATAAACGGTGATCAGTGTGACCTTGTTGCGCCCTTGCGAATATTGGGTGCGTCCTGGTTTCTCGGTGAACTGGTTAGACTGAAGGCGCGGTGTATACTTACGGTAGCGCTGGTGTATGTATCTGAGTCCCGACTCGCATTCCTAAATGTACTAGGGTGTCTGCACGGTGTGCCTAACGAAAAACTAAGTATTGTAGAGATATTACCTTTGAAAGGTTGTGTTGAAAACCGTCGATCATGAAATTAGTACACATCTGAAGGGCTTGTAATGATGGAAGTCGTTCCTTTGGAACAGGGAGATGTAGACATTTTGTCAACTTAAAGCTGGGAGCTAAATCAGTTGAGGATTATCGAAAGTCAACTTGTCGGGCAAGTTTCACAATAAATTAACCCGTCTAAAGGAATTGAAGTACAATCATTCGTTAGTAACTGGGGTAGTAAAAATGATTTCTCATAAATAAAGTAGTCTAGTAAGAAGCATGTTTGCAGAAGCTTATGTATTAAACGTCATCTTATCAATTTTGTTCATTATTGGAATCTACAGTGCTGTAGTGATAGTTATCATATGTTAACTAGTGACTAGCCTCCGGAGTTTCAGTGGGGCTCAGCCGTGCTGAGCTTGAGGCAATTACCCACCGAAGACAATGGATGATGGTAACACAATATCGTGGATTGGTCCAAGTTAATCATTATACATTGAGGTTAGGCATTCGCACACGCTCATACTAGGACAAGACATCCATCCAACGTTTTCAGATTTTCAAGGGTGATCTAACATTGTTTGATTCATGATTTTAATCAGACTCCACAACTCTATACTGATATTTATTCATTATTTTAACGTGAAGAAGTGAAAGACTCAAGTGAATAAGATCAAGTACCTTTTTTGAAAAAGAGAATGTGTAGGTGTTATTAAGATATTCAATATTCCTTCTAAAAATATGGGGATATATTAGATTTGAGATCAGTTGTGTTTTATGCCATCCGTGACACTTTATTTTTGGTTGGTTTCTCATCATATGTTATTGATTAATCAAGTTTTTCTTCTGAATATGTTTTATTCAACTGTTACACTATGTTATTCAAATCGATATTAAAAGTGAATGTATGAAGATATTTTGCTGGTTACTTATATGTCTTATAACATAGATACTACATACATATACACTATAAATGAAGAAATAGAAAAAAACCTAATTAACTCTACTATAAATCGATATTATCACCATTAATTGTAGCTTATTTAAAATAGTAAATATTATCCCCTTACGAATCGTAAATATCAATTATAAAAAGAGTGGAGACTAATTTCAAAAGTTTTTATAGGTTTTTTCCAGTTATTGAATAAACATTTGGACCTGAATACCCTGGTACAACCGAGGGTGGGGAGAGTTAGCTCTACCTCTTCAAATTCTCTCACATGACCACTGTCAGTGATGTCTTATCCACTATCATCTCGAGGTATTACTGTTGCTTACAAAATTGAAAGGACGAAAAGCGAATATCAGGAGCTTTAAGTGGGTTGGTGGACACGGCGAATCTACCTAGAAGAATTGGAAAACCCTGATTCCAAACCCATGGTGAACATGAGCTCCAGGATCCTGAGGGAACAAATGGCGTATGAACCAATCATTGATCACTGGTTACCATGGGACTGAATCTCTTGACGTTGCTCCATTGCCTTGTGAATCAGACCTTCAGGTTAAAGGATCTGAACATGACCCTTTACGAAAACCACGTGCTTCGATTTGGCACACGATCAGTATCACAGCCCACACACAAATCAAATGACATGTGTGGCGCATATGTATTCGGTGCCCATTTGTACCAATATATATATCTTTAAATATATAAATAAAATAAATACCGATCGTGAATATCAATTACAAAAAGAGGGAAGACTAATTTCAAAGGTTTTTTTATCGGTTTCTTCCAGCTATTGAATAAACATTTAACTTTTCATTAGAAACTTTTATTAGTTAGAGTACCTAAAAGGATGATATCATTGAAATCTTATTCAGTAAATGAATTTTGTTCTTTACTGTAAGACTAATGAACATTCGTTGAGATTATAATTTATGAATGAGTTTTGAGCGACAGAAAACTGATTTTGAGTGTCTACCTATTTACTAGGAATTAAATGAAGGTTATAAAATAGTTTGAAGAGTAAGGATCATGATTCACAATTGATGATTTAGGTTAGGAATGAGTTTCACAGTTTGTTTTTTTTTATTATCAGGAACTGACATGATTTTCGTGCCTAAATCTGTTTGGTTCGTCAATAAGTAATAGTCTCACTATGAATATTTTTCAAACAAAGAAAAATAGAATAGAGTTTAAACGTTCACACGCGAGACCGAGAGGTCCTGGGTTCGAATCTCATGAGGTGGGATCGTGGCTGTGCACTTTTAACGAGTCATATACTAAGAGAAAATAGCCGTCCATTACTTTTAGGTTTTCTATGATGGTCTAACTTCAATTGACTCATGATCTCAACTATTGTCATTCTCATGTGTTTTTTGGCACATAAGTTTTTGTATATATTCATTATGTAATAGATTTAAAGCATCATTGTTGTAAGTGAACTTACTTTCAATATCAAATAGTATCATATGAGTGATTCATTGATTTTAGAACAATTTACATGTTTATTTAATAAACAAAAATCAATATGATATAATATGTCATGAGTAGATTGTAAATAATGAATGATGAATAGGATGTGTAACATGTAAAACAAGTTATGTTTAATAGTTGAATTCATGAGTCAATTGAAGTTAGATTACCATGGAAAACCTTGAAGTACTGGATGACCATTTCGTCGTAGTATGAGACTTCTCAGTAATGCACATCCATGATTATGCACCGAGAGATTTGAAAACAGAACCTATCAGTCTCGCATGCCAACACCTAACCTCTAGACCATTAAAATTGCTGGTATCCAGTGGTTTTAATGTCTAACTTAGACTAATCCATGACATTGAGCCATATGTCCACCATTGTCTTCAATGACTTACTATCTCACAACAGACACGGTTGGACTCCACTGGTCACTGATTCTCACTACAACTCCAGGACATACATCTTGAAGCCAGTCACTAGTGAGCATATGCTGATTAATATCAGAAAGGGGTTTTTATGGATATTATAGTAATTTATTAGTTGAATTCATGAGTCATTTGAAGCTAGACCCCCATGGGAAACCTGGAAGCACTGGACGGCCTTTTCGTCCTATTATGGGACGACCATCCGGTGCTCCTAGGTTTTCCATGGAGGTCTAGCTTCAATTGACTAATGAATTCAATCATTGAATTACTACAATATCCACAAAACTGTTAGAAAATCTTTCGTGCGAATTTTTATTAAAAAATAATTGTGTATTTTGTCATTTGAAATGGTTTCATGAATTGATCTTAAAACTCTAGGATTCAATGGTATACGTGATGATGAATTTATGCTTCTGATAAGTATTAATATAAGATCAAATAGTTATTTAGTTTCATCTAACTTCCAATCTTTCTACAATTTGTGTCAGTTCAAATTGAAAGGTAAATAACCTATAGACCCATTAAACTTTCTTATATTGCCTACTTTCAACAGTCTTGAAGAGTAACATACAAAATAAAGAAATTTAAATTTTAAGTGGACATTCAAAAACAGTCTCGTTATATAAGTTGTGTAAGATATGTATGTGTGTTGATTGTTTGTGACAGAAGTGTGAAGTGACGAGTTTGTGTTCGAGGTGGTCGGCCACGTCTTCTGGAAAGCCAGTACCCAGCATAACCATCACATTACACTCCACTATCACCCATCCGTTATGTTGCATCACAACGATCGTCCACAACACGTCCCGTGCCTTCATCCACTAGACCGAGTCCGGTTCAATATCCTTGAGGTGGTCTGACGAATACACAGTCAGTCAGTCAGTAACAACGTGTAACTTCGTACATACGTACATCAGTTAGAGTTGCCATACCACATTAGCACAGAGATACAGTTGTCCATTCAAATCCCGTAGTGGTAAGGGTAGTAAGAGTATAAGCAGTAATCGAAAACATTAAGGTTTGAAAATGTTATTCAATAAGTATAATCCAGTGAAATAAATTTGGGGAGAGGAAAAAGAGACAAGGAGGAATCAGGAGATTAGAATTTGGGAGAACACAAAGAGTGAACGCAGTTGCGCCATTGCAAACGATTTCGAGCCATGTCATCCAAGGTCTCTAACCATCGGTTGCTATCATCTCGCGGTCCCCAACCAGTTAGTCTACACCTACCAACATGACCCAGTCTACTCGTCAGTGACTTCATGGATTTGTGCCATGTTTTGGTCTGTCCGCCTCTAGCTTTTTTCCCATACCACTGGACATCGCACGTCGAGGCAGTCAGTCGTTGGGCATACGTAGCATGTGTCCCAGTCATCTCAGCCAATGTAGTCTCACTACGTCATCAACTGATTTGCCATTCTTACCTAGTGCTTGTTTCCTAACAACTGCACTACTTACTCGGTGGTCCCAGGATATACGAGCAATGTTTCGAAGACATCTATGATCAAATAATAGTAGCTTAAGAATATCCTCTACTCTTACCGGGCATGTTTCACTGCCATAAAGTAGGACGGAACGAACTGCTGCACAGTAAACACGTCCTTTGCTTGATAGACAGATATTTCGTCTACACCATCAATGACGCAAGTTAGCAAAAGCTAGTCGAGGCTTCTGTATCCGTGCTGAGATTTCGTCATACACCAGGGCTGATGTGACTTCCA